GGGGGGGGACTCACCTGGGGAAGGGACAAAGGGACTCCCCCCCACCCCCACCCCTTACAGGGCGTGTAACCGGGATGGGGGCGTGGCCACAGCTGGGTGTGGTCGTTATGGGTGTGGCCTGAGCCAGGAGGAGGAGCTTGCACCAAGGAGGAGGAGCCTAAGGCTGGGTGGGCACCATGGGCTGGGGGGACCCTGAGGGGGTGCCAAGGTCCCCAGGGGGGGTTTCAGGGTCCCCAGGACCTCCCTGGTGTCCCCAGAAGCTTCTGGAAGTCCCCAGGTGGCTCCCGAGGTCCCCAGGACTTCCCAGGTGCTCTCTGACATCCCCAGGAGATCCCCAAAGCCCCCAGGAGGTCCCCAAAGTCCCCAGGACCCTCCCCCACATGTCCCAGGCGCTCTCCGAGCTCCCCAGGTGCTCCCCTAGATCCCCAAGGACCCCCACAGGTGTCCCCAAGATCTCTGAAGATCCCTGAGCTCCCCAGCAGGGCCCCCCAAGATCTCCGAGGTCCCCAGGACGTCCCCACGTCCCCACGACGTCCCCCTCACCCCTTGACCAGCTCGACCACCAGGAAGTCGGAGCCGCTGCCGCCGTTGAAGAGGATGAGGCCGTCGGGCGCCGTGGTCTTGAACTGGAAGAAGAGGTGGAAGGAGGCGAAGGCCTGGAGCGTGGCCAGCGCCACGTAGGAGCCGCGGCCCCCGAAGGCCACCGGGTCGGCCACGATGGCGCGGCGGCCGAAGCGGGCGTTGAGCTCGCAGGAGCTGATGTCGCCGTCGCGGCACAGGTCCAGGTAGGGCAGCCCGTTGAACACCAGCCCGCTCAGGTGGCCCAGGAAGTTGGACGGGACCACGGCCAGGAAGCGCCGCTCGGTGACGATGCCGGTCTCGATGTTGTGGAACTCCAGGCGGGTGTGAGAGCCCGACAGCTGTCCTGGGGGGCGGGGGGGACACGGGGGTGTCACTGGGAGCCTGAGGATGGCTGAGGGCCACCTCGCCGTGGTCCTGCTCAGCTGGGGTCTCCTGGACCTCCAGGCCGTGTGCTGTGTCCTCAGGGGCCTGGTCACCTCATCCTCGTGCACCAATGTCTCCTGGACCTTCATCCCTGTCCCCATGGACCTTAATCCCTGTCCTATGGACCTTCATCTGTGTCCCCAGGACCTTCATCCCTGTCCCCATGGACCTGTGTCCCCATGGACCTTCGTCCAGGACCTTAATCCCTGTCCCCATGGACCTTCATCCATGTCCCCAGGGCCTTCATCCAGGACCTTCATCCCTGTCCCCAGGACCTTCATCCCTGTCCCCATGGACCTGTGTCCCCATGGACCTTCATCTGTGTCCCCAGAACCTTCATCCATGTCCCATGGTCCTGGTCACCTCATCCTCGTGCACTGATGTCCCCTGGACCTTCATCCCTGTCCCCTGGACCTTCATCCCTGTCCCCACAAACCTACAGCCCCACTGGCCACGTCCCCACAGACCTGAGCCCCCCCCGTGACCCCAAGAGCCGAAGGTCCCCCCGTCCCGTCCCCGCGGTGTCACCTTCGACGGTGACGTTGTCCACGGCGAGCTGGAGGCTGCGCCCGCGCCGGGCCACCCGCACCGAGTGCCACTCGTTGTCATCCAGCCGCTGCCCCGCGAACAGCGTCTCGGGACCCTTGCCTGGGGGCAGCGGGGACATTGGGGACATTGGGACACTGGTGACACCGGGGACACTGGGGACTCCAGGGACATCAGGGACACCAGTGACACCGGGGACACCTCTGCACTGGAGGATACTGGGACAGCAGGTGACACTGGGGACACCAGAGGGACACCAGGGACAGTGAGACACCAGTGACACCAGGGGACACCACTGTACTGGTGACACCAGGTGACACAGGGGGACAGCACTGTCCTGGGACACTGTGCCACCAGTACAGGTGACACTGTAGCAGCTGGTGGCACTGGGTGACACTGGGAACAGTGGCACTGGGTGACACCAGATGTTCCCAGCCAGGTGACAACACCCACAGCTGGAAACAGCCCAGGAGAGACTCCGGGGACACCGCCCAGGTCTGAACCCCTAAAG